AACACGAGCGGCATAAGCCTCCGGCAAGATATCCGCCATGTCCGGTATCAATAAACCTTGTGCGTTCTCCTCCTGGCTGGTCGTCAACACAACCGGCATATTTAAGGCTTTTGCAAAACGGGCCAGCGCCCGGGCATTCTGAATGATCATTTTCTGTGGAATATTCCTGCAAAAACCCAATGTCCCTACCTGGTGATCGATCAATAACATCACACTATCTTCTACGTTAAACAACTTCACCATCTTACGTTTGTTTTAATGAATAAATAATAACCGGACACTACGCTGTCATTTTGCAGATAGACACAGTTCTGCAATTTGTCGGGTTGATTTCTAAAAGGCGGCCGCCAACTCCGTATTTGTCATTTCCATAAAAAGCAGTTATTAAAAATGAAATCAGCTCATATACCGGTCAAACCAGTCGATCATCTTTTTCGGATGATTGGGAAAATAATTATAGCCGTCCCATCTTCGGGTCGTTCCTTCTATCCAGAATAATTCCTTCTCCTGAACCGGAATATTATCAAAGATCTGCTGCACATCTCCCGGCTTTGTCAATGCATCGGCATAAACCTGTGTTATAAAGGTGGGCACCCGGACATTTTTTGCGTACATGACGGGCGACATCTGATCAATGGTAAAACTTGTGATCCGCCGGATCTCTTCATCAATATCATCAATAAGATTAGCAGGCAGCTCCAGGATATCCAGGATGCGCTCATAAAAAGGCCTTGGGGAGATCGGCTGCGGCGCAACCATACAGCGGATGTCTTTAAAAAATTCCGGATGTTTTGTCATGGCTATCATCGTTGAGTTGGCACCTACACAACGGCTCAAAAGCCCTATGCGCATGTCTTTCAAATCGGCACGGCGCTGTACATATTGCAGCGATCCGATCACGTCGCGGTATTCTAATAATCCATTACCGCAGATGCCACCGTTAGCAGCACCGCTATGCCCGAAATTTCTAAAGTCATAACATAAAACATTATAGCCGGCATCATGGAGGTTTTTATAATCAGGCATAAAATTCACTTCAATAATATTGCCTCCGGCCTCACCAATATGTATCCATGGCTCGAGGTGCCCGGGAAAGCCCGAGCGATTGAACCAGACGGGATGATTACAAATAATCAGTTTATCGGAGTCTGCGGGTATCAGCCACGCATCAAGCGGCACACCATCCATGGAAGGAAAAAATACCGATTCGTAGCTCAAGCCATATTCTTCCGGCCATCTCAATAGGGGCGACCTAATTGGTTTCCCAAATGTAGTTGCAAAGTTTTTTGCCAGCGCCTGGCGTTCGATGCTTGTCATTTAATGCTGTTCTTTAGAAGATAAGATCCGGTTTAAATCATCTGTGATGCTGCCGATATTTTTAGCCTGCAAAAAGGTGTGTGAGGCAATGGCAATATCTACTCTATTGCAAAGACCAGTTTTCCTTTTGCAGTTCTGTTTTCAATCATTTCATGTGCCTGCTGCGCTTCGTCCAGGCTCATCACTACCGGCTCACGCGTCTTTAATTTCCCGGTGTCTATTAACCTTGCAATATCGGCGAGCATTACAGCGTCCGGTTGCGTAAACACCATATGTATCCTGACACCCGCTTCTTTTGCCTGCTCTTCAGAAGGAGGCATCACTGTAGACAATAACAACCCGCCTTTTTTAAGAATTGAAAATGATTTCGACAGTGTTTCTCCGCCCACCAGGTCTAAGACAACATCCAGGTCTTTCCCGATGGTTGTAAAGTCAGTGTTGGTATAATCAATCACTTCATCAACGCCCAGCGATCGCAAAAGATCAAGACCTTCCCCGGCTGCCGTCCCGATCACATAGGCACCTCTTTGCTTTGCCAGTTGCACCGCATAAGACCCGACGGCACCTGCCGCACCATGGATCAGTATTTTTTGCCCGGCCTGCAGGTCAGCATCTTTTATAATAGAAGTATAAGCCGCTCCTGCTACCATAGGAATGGCGGACGACTGGAGGTAAGATAGTGTTGCCGGTTTCCGGGCCACTTCATTTTCGTTGACTGCAACATAGGTAGCATAGGTTCCTCCCTGCCCGAAGTTGGGCATAAAATAAACCTCATCACCTTTAGAAAAGCGGCTCACGTCAGCACCCGCCTGTGCTACAATGCCAGCGCCCTCCCAGCCTAAGATCAGCGGAAATGTTTTAGGCATTGTCTCGGCCATCATGCCTGCCCGGATTTTTATATCAATGGGATTCACAGATGAGGCTTTTATCCGGATCAGTAATTGATTGGCGCCAAAACCTGGTTTCTCTATTT